AGTTTGGAAATTTCAATTAATGAATAAACATTTTCTTTGTTTTCTGGCTCAAGTAAAATAAGAAAGAAGTATTTCTGCAAAATATAAAAAGATAAAATATTATTTTCCAAAAATAAATAAAAATAAACTCATAAATGTGAGAAAGGCTCAGATCTGTGTGTATAGAAATGAGGCAGGAGGATCCAAACCCGCCATGGCTGCCAAACACCGGTTGCAAAGTGGGGCCCACTTGCCTTCCGGGTTTGTCCCGCCAAGATACGGGTCGGGTTATCCTCCGTGCCCAATTCTCTCCCAGCAAAATACTCTTTTTTTATCATCACAGCCTTCTCAGATCCATACGCGCGCACACAACAAAATTGACCATATACCTCAGGGGTGGCAAAGTATAATTAACAGAAAACACAGGGGTGTATATGTAATTTATCCCAAGGGCTGTTGGTTAGAGAGAGAGAGAGAAATCATGGGCAGAATCAGAAGGGGGCAACCACCCTTTAGAAATCCCGTAATCCCTCTGATGCCTCATTCTTTTCTGCTTGGGAGAGAATATTGTTATCCATCAACAACTGAGATCTTGGCTCTTGAGAGTAGGTTTTATTACAATACACTCCCATTCCGTAATTTGTGCTTTTTTTGGGACTCGAGTTGCAAATAAAATAATATTGATGGGCGATGGGACCGAGGATATGTTGTCCATCCCTATACTAGGAAATCGGACGGTAGCAGTTTCTAAAGTTTAATATTAATTTCAGTTTTGTTTAGAAAAATTTTGAAAATTGAGATTTCACTAGTATACATAAAATATTGGGCCACTAAGGTATATAATTAAGACAAAACTTATTGTAATTAAATAACAAACTCAACTAAATATTTGATTCATATTCTTTATAAATTCCAAAAATACCCCTCACAAAAAAAAAGAAAAAAAAAATCTCCACAAAATAATATTTTATACTTTTTTTTTGGCATTCACCATTTTTATTTTATCTTCTATTATTTTTTCTCTACATAATATTGAAAATTATAATTTTTTTTAATTTGTTTTCGGTCGTAATCATCTATAAACATTCGTAGGAACTATAGACAGCCGTTGGAAGCGGTTGTAATACATAGTCTTCCGCAGTCATCTGTGATCATATATTTTTGAAATCCTAGACATTAAATCAAAAAATCATAAATCCATCCTACCAAACTCTAGATCCCCTCCACCAAACTTTAGATCTGCGACGCCAAGGCCACACACGCCACTCACGCTGCTAAGGATGCCATCCATCTCACCCATGCCGCCATTGCCATTCCCAACGCCCAACATCGCCACGCCACCATCAGCGCCTCTCCCCATAGCCACCGCCAGCGCTTTATACCACCGCCTCGAGCGCCATAGTCGATTCCATTTGCCATAACCACCACCTCTCTCAACCATGGAGTGAAGTGGTTGGAGAGAGAGAGAGATCTGAGGGAGAAACGTGAATTAGTGGGTTATAAGATTTAGGGTATAATGGCAAGATAGAGATTAAAAAAAATGAAGGATGTGGAACATATATTATTTAAATCTAAGGATTTAATTAAAATATTGAATTTGAACTTATCATTTAGTTCAAATTATGTTTCATTTGAGAGGCTCATAGCATATTAATTTATATTGATATTATAAGGGTAATTTTTGGAAGGATATCGACATTTAAAAAAATTAAAGTTTGAATCGTAAAGCGGAATGTAATATGTATTTCCAGTTCCGTTCTAAATAAATCGAAACTGAAAATTTTGGATTTAGGAATTAGGATTGAACAATATTGTTACATAATCGAAAATATTCGGATCGAGACAACGAAATTCGAAAATTATATTCTAATTGTAACCCCTAATCAACCATAAGGAGTAGATAAATGCAATTTCATTTTTACGAATACTTTTTTAATATTCAAAAGTTTTATCTCTAATGTTTGAAATTCCGTATTTTTGTCTACCCACGCCTAAAACGGGCATAAAAAACATGTCGATCTCGCGCCCAAAGTCCAATTTGGGCGTGAAGCAATGGTTCCCACGCCCTTTATTGGCGCGAGTGAACATTTCTTTTAGTGATTACTTGAATAATGAATATTTAATAAAATGGATACTAAATTTTTTATATTTAATAAATTATTATTTGGATAATACAATCAATAAATAAAAAATTAAATATTGATTAATATCTAGCTAATAATTGATTTATAATTTCTAGTAATTAATGAATAAATAATAATAATTGGTTAAAAATTTATAGTAAAAATCAATTGATAGTTAATGAATCATTAATGATCAATTTGTTATTTGTTAATGTCAAAATGTATTAGTTTTATTTATATTTATCAAAAAAATTGCCTCACGTCCAAATTATACTCGGCGATGTGAATTTTACGCCCAAGTTGGATGTGTTTGTGAGGTTTGGAGGTTTAGGTGGGTTTGGGAGTTTTAGACTGTGATACAAATTTTCTGAATGAACGATATTTGTAGTATTAGTCCCGTAAAAATTGTTTCAGTTAACAATAATATAATGTTCAATTTCTTTTATTCATAATTTATACTCTAACGTTCATTACACGGTTGTTCATCACGGTTATTTCTATGCAACATTCGGAGAATTAAAATTACACCAAGTGATCTACATACACTAATATATATTTGTGCATGTTTATGTCTATATAAATCGTAAGATCTACCCGATATATTTCGTAGGCAGTAGCATATTATAAACCACTTCACCATCAGGTGAATTTCGTACCCATATGGTTTTTTTCTTTCTTTATTTATTAATTACTCTCTCTACACTTAAAACATAATTAATATATTCCCTAAAAATAATAATTAATATACGTTATAATTAGCAGTGAATACAATATTTGTATCAAAAAACTGAAGTATTAACATATAATCTAAAAAAAATCTCAAAAGGAAGAACTAATTTGTAGTTGCAATCAAGAATCTATGGAATTAACAAAGCTAATCACTTTAGAAACGAGCTCAGCAACCTCAACAGAGGCCGTAGTGTCCAAAACAAGCTTAGCCACGTCACCCACATCATAATCCCAACACCCACCATAACCCTCCAACAAACCCTCCATCTCCCGCCACGTGGACGGCTTGTGCCACCCCGAGCCACCATCTCCACCCCTCGACTCGAGCCGCCGCCGCCATTCTACCTCATCCCCGGCCATACACTCCACCACAACCACCCTTCCGCCGTTCCTAGATGCTATCTCCACCAGCCGATCCAAGTGGGCCCTCCTGGAGAGTGGGGAATCTACAACGACGCTCAGCCCCAAGCCGAGCTGAGCCGATACAACTCGCCACATGGCATCATACGAGAGGTCGTTGAGTACTTTTTTGGCTGCTACGATCGAAATACTTTCTAGAAGGATCTGTTGAATTTCGAGTGTCGAATCCCGAAAATGGTCCTTGTCTGCTAAAGGGCATTTTAGGGATTTCGCAATGGATTTAGCCAGAGTGCTCTTCCCTGTACCCGGATGGCCTTTCATTGCTATCACAACTGGACTTTCTTGTGTTTTATTCATGGCCGGAAGATTAATGTGTGCATGTGTTCAAATTTGAGATCAGAGTTTATTAATAGAAGTTTGATTCACACGTGGCAAAATTATCTTTCATGGATTGTATGTATAGTATAGGTGTTTTTGTCAAGTGCCAAGTGGGATACGATCAAGATTTGTAGTGCTTATCCAAATTGTTTTGACAAGATCAACAACATTTAGTCTTCACTTACTCCTAATTAATAGATTTGTAGAGCTATTGTCAAAAGATGAGATTTACACATTGCATAGATTTCATTCTTGTATTAAGAAAATTTAAGCAACAAACATAAAGGTTGAAATCCGAATGAAATTTTCAAATTCTTGCCTAATCTGATCTAAAAATATCCGAATTTTAAACCGTATTTTTCATTTCGGTTTCTGAATTTATTTGGAGCAGAATTGAAATGATGTATAAGATCACCGAAAATTCCGATTTTTTATCCGATTTTAATTCCAAATATATAATATAATTTTATGATATATTTTGTATTTCAAAATATAACTTATGTTATTTTTTATACTGAAATGCTATTCATAGGCAATTTTTACCGCCTTGCAGTGCGATTTATTTCATTTGTAACTTTCCGAAAAAAAAAAAACAAATTCGCCCGCTATTTCGTGTATTATTACACGAAATGCACTCAATAATTTCGTGTATTGTTATACGAAATATAAGTGTTTATTGTTATAGAACACGAAGGACGAAACTGTTAGATTGAAAAAAATCGTGTATTTCGTGTAATAATACACGAAATTGTACATCATATTTCATGGAGTTTTCCACGAAATTGTACATCATATTTCGTAGATTTCACTACTAGAAATACTGTTTATCAAGACGCCGCAATGTGTCACGAAATGTAGATATTGAGACGGTTTATCTATTGGGACGGCCCACTAAACCGTCTCATAGGTAAGCGTCCTAATATATTGTTGTCACGCATTATGAGCGGCGTCCCAATAACTTTTATTTATGACGCTCTAAGTCGTCCCCAATTCATTTCTATAATGACGCCAGATATCGTCGTATTAGGTGTTTTAACGGCTTTACTTAACTTTAAATATGACAACCTAAAGCGTCCCAAAACAGTTTTCTTGTGACATTGTCAACCGTCGTATTAAATATTCCAACAGTTTTAACTGATTTTATTAACCGTCTCAATAAGTGTTAATGTGACACAGACGTTGTCCCAATAGATGTTATCGTTAAGAGCAAATTTGTCCCCAATGTAATTTTTATGACACAAAACCGGGCACACCATAAATATTAAACTAAAAAACAAAAAAACAAAAAAACAAAAAAAATCTAATTTTCACTTTTCAAATATAAATTATAGTCAATCATTTCTCAAATAATTAAATCGAACACCACCTCCATTGGGGTTGAAAAACACAATCAATCACTAAGTATTCATTTCATTTGTCCAAGGCAAAATAAATAGTAAAGTAACAAATATTTTCATTTCAAACAAAAAGTTCTTCTAAAAAAAAATTCTAGTTACTGCACTACTTAATAGAAAAACATATAATATCAATAAAGTCTAACAATTTTGCAAAATGTACCAGAACATGAGCAATACCTAAAGCTCATCAAAAAACAAAGTCACCTAGGAAATTATCTTATATCAGAACTTGAAAGCTCGTCGCCATGAAATCTCGAAGTCCATGTTCTGAAAATTATCCATCTACTGTAACCTATTAAGACAACCAAACAATAAATTATATCACTAATAAAAAAGACCATAATAACTTTTAGTATATTGAAAAGAATATTACCAAGTTATGTGGCCATGCAATAGCCTCACCAATAGCATCACCAATAGTAGTTCTAGAATCTGATATCGGTCGAAGTAAGTCTTCATCCATAGCTATTCCAACATTAATAATGATTTCGCACCAATTTTGCCCTAGTCGTACTTGCCCAACGCATTTTGATGGATCTAAGCTTGCAAGAATACCAATTGCTACAATTTTTGATGATTCAAACATACTTCTCAAATATACTTTTGCTCCAACCTACAGTAATAATTATAAATTGATAATATGAATTGCAAAATCAATCAACTATAAATCATTCACCACATGCAATTCCAATTTAATACACGAAAAATAATCAATGTTCATATGACAAGGGAAAACTGATGGATTACCTTTAGGGGCGTCTTGCTTGACGACGAGACTGAGGGGCCACGAGAGGTCGAATGGGGGTGAGATGATGATGAAGTGACTCTATTTTCAGATGGAGGTGGAGAATAGTGGCTAGTTCTATGTTGGTTCATTTTTATGAACTCCATTATCATCTTTTCTTGTTGTTCAACCTTTTGCTTTAAGGCATACATTTCATTTTGCCATGCGATATTATGAGAAGACCTTCGTCTAGGCATGTCACCGTAAACATCAGAGGCAGTGACACCGCAACCATACATCCTTATTCTCCCCCGTTTATCTTGTCCCACAACCTGAGAAAAAATGTCATTTGGGCCACTATCATTTGCATTATCTGGAAGTTCACTTATTAATTCTTTCATCTTACGCTGCGCATGTAAATGATCAAATCAAACTTCTTAGTTAGACAACATTAAACCGTTGCATTATCATATTTAAAATTTCAAAATATATGTATATAAAATGAATGTACTCGCTTACGAGAGAATCTGCTACATTCGGATTAGATGACTCTCCATTTCGAGTATAGCATTTCTCAAAAAGTTCAGACCTACTTGGTTCAATTACGATAGGATCAACATGTGTTCCATCACCACTTTGTTCATCATCAACAGTAGCATCTTTCGATGCTTCTAACTCTGTCTACAAGATAATATGTATAGTTAGTTGAATAAGTACATGATGCATGCTATTTGGAATAACTATCTCTACAAGAAAACAAACCTTCATATGATGCCTAACTTGCGCAAAGCTCCATTTTCCAGTAACATGATGCATGCTCTTGTTTCCTCTGTTATCTTTGTTTTTATCACTTACTTTCTAAATATGCAAAAAAAAAAAAAAAAAAAGCTTCTATGGATCAATAAATTACAAAGTGAATTAATCACTAGTTATACAGTAGCATTATCTTCAATTAAAATTTTATTAAATTTTTTTATACCTGTGCAGCATCACTACGCCAATAAATCACAGCATTTTCCATTGATCGCCAAGAATTCTTTCATCATCAATATCAGGTCTCCTGCGCAAGTTTTCTTCCAGTGATTTGTTTCGATCAAAGTAATTTGATTTTATTCTATTTTTCCAGCTCCTCCAACTCTTTGCTAATTTTGCCTCGGTAACCAAATGCACAGTCAGATGTACCATGATATCGAAAAATGCAGGGGGGAAGATCTTTTCAAGCTGGCAAAGTATGAGAGCAATCTCTTTTTCCATTCGTGTCAAATCACCAACTTGAAGTGTTTTAGAACACAAGTCTCTAAAGTAACGACTCAAATGAATCAAAGGTGAACGTACCGACTTTGGCAAAAGTTTACGCAATGAAAGTGGCAACAATTGTTGCATCATTATGTGACTATCGTGACTCTTCAAACCAAAAATTCTAGTCGGTTTCAAGTGCACACACCTCGAAATATTTGCAGCATAACCATCGGGAACTTTAACATTTTTCAATACCTTACAAAATCTTTCCTTCTCAGATTTATCTAATGTGAAAGATGATGTCGGTATCCACTCTTTTCCAAACTCATCGGTATAAGGATGGAGTGCATTCCTAATGCCCATTTTCTTCAAATCCATGCGGGCTTTATAGTTATCCTTTGACTTATCGGAATCGATTAATGTATACAAAACCTTATCACACACATTTTTCTCAATGTGCATAACATCGAGATTATGACGTACAAGATTTTTTTCCCAGTATGGCAAATTAAACAAAATACTTTTTTTTTCCAGCTGTAAGGTAAATTTAAATCGCCCAGATTCTTTCCAAACTTGTTATCAATATTTTTTATATCATCTAATACCGTGGATCCCGTCAAATAAGGAGGTGCCTTTCGAAGTTCCTTTTTCCCATCAAACGTGGCTTTCTCATTTCGATACGGATGACCATCGGGTAAGAAAATACGATGACACATGTAACAGTACTTGCGAGAATTGTCTAACCATTTAGAGTTAGTAAACTTATAACACACTGGACAAGCGAATTCTCCTTTCGTACTCCAACCAGATATAGATGCAAGGCCAGGAAAGTCACTAATAGTCCATAACAAAGCTGCACGCATTTGGAAATTTGTTTTCGAAGAAGCATCGTATGTAGTTACTCCAACTTCAAATAATTCCTTTAGCTCAGCAATCAAGGGTTGCAAATATACATCAAGATTATTGCCAGGTTCAGAGGGACCGGGTATAAGTACAGATAACATAAAGTAAGACTTCTTCATACAATATGCAGGTGGAAGATTGTATGGCATTAATATTACTGGCCACGTACTATGGGCTACATTCATGGTTTTAAAAGGATTAAAACCATCAGTTGCCAAGCCCAATCTTATATTGCGAGAATCTCTAGCAAATTCGGGATTATTGTAGTCAAAAGTTTGCCATGCTGGGGAATCGGCCGGGTGTCTCATGATACCATCCTTAGTTCGTTCTTCATCATGCCACTTCATAAGGACCGCAGTTTTAGAATTCATAAACAACCTCTGCAACCTTGGCTTCAACGGGAAGTACCAGAATCTTTTTACAGGCACCTTCTGATCTTTATTAGATTTTTTCGATGGAAGACCACTCTCATCCGGAGTACTTTCTGGTGTGGTCCACCTTGGCTCATCACAAGTCTCACACTTGGTCTTATATTCATTCACGCCCCAGTATACCATGCAGTCATTTTTGCATGCATCAATCTTCTCATAATTTAAACCCAAATCTTTCAATATCTTCCGAGTTTCATAATAATTATTAGGCAATTGAACATCCTCTGGAAACGATTCTCTTAATAAAGTAAGCAACAAGGTAAATGAACTATCACTCCAATTACCAAGACACTTTATCTGGGGTAATCGAATAATGAAAGAAAGTTTGAAAAACTTTTTACATCCAGGATAAAGTTCTTTTTCTGCATCTTTCATGAGCTTGTAGAATTTCTCAGCTTCTTTACAAGGTCTTTCTACTTCCTCAATATCTGGCATTGTTTCTTCATCATTGATTTCATCATGCACGAAAAATGCATCATGCAACATTTCTTCCATGTTATCAGATGCATTCAGATGATCATATTTATTTGACGGCACTTCGTTAGAGAATAACTCTCCATGAAGTAGCCATTTAGTGTACCCACTAAAAAACCCATTCCAGAGAAGATGTTCTGACACAACCGAATGTGTTTTGCATAGACCATTTTTACATTTTTTGCACGGGCATAAGATCATCCCATCATTTGAATTTGAGAAGGCTAAGTTCAAAAAATGTTGCAATCCTATTCGATATTCATTGCTTGACCTTGGTAGATCCATCCATGTTTTGTCCATCTAAGTATTTTTGGAATGAACCAGAAGTAATAAAAAAATAGAAGTAATACAATAATAAATTATAAAGTAAGTGAGTAAGAAAAAATACCTTTAAACTTCAAATCTTACGAATAATTCACCCAAGCAACCAAGATCTCTCTAGAAATTGAAATCACCTTCGTTGAGTGACTCAAACCCCTGATCATCATATTTAATTAGACGAAGTTAGTTTTAGAGAACAGTCGAAATAAAAATATACATGCATTATCAAAAAATTAACACGATTTGAGTACTCGATTAGACCTCCCCATACTAAATCATATTAATTTGATTTCACTTTACATATATCAAATTCTTATTATACCTACTGTACAAGTTCACAAGAATTACATTGAAAAAGAGTTAAGAGTTATAAGGAAAAACCATATCTGAAACATGGAAAAAAACATTTATGTCTGATTCCAACCATACACACCAACATCTAAGGTCATACAATTCAGTCAAAATTATTCTTTAGTAACTGAGCATTACTAGAGTCCAGAAGACAACCGATTCAGAACTCTTCCGAGAGTTCTTTTTTTTTTTTTTTTTTTATGACGTTTTAAGAGAAAAAAAAAGAAACACTTAACAAATTTGTAGAACTCGACAATTCAACCGGTATTTATTTGATCGACATACAATATACTATCAAGTTTATATTTTTAAAAGGAATTCATATATTACATATGTTTAACTATAATGAACACATAAACGTTTCTCTCAACCATGGCAAAACATCTCTAGAATAATTTTAAGAATAAATCTAAACAAAAATATAACTAACTACTCACTGAAATATATATTGTTCCAAGAAAAAAAAATCACTAGTTCAAACACTTCAACTCACCACAAATAAATTAAAAAAATGGTTCAAGCAATTATTTAAATCTTAACTATGTTCTGAAAAACAGAAGAAAAACAAAAAAAAAAAAAAAAAAAAGCAACAGGGGAAGAAAATAGAAAAAAAACAAAGGGGGCCAAGAAAGAACAAAAATCAAAGTTATAGAGAGAGATCTACGAGAGAGGGGTATTACCCAAGATTAATTCTTCCCCCAAAATCAACCCCACCAAAATCAATCCCACCAAAATCATAGTTTTCTTATGGGTTTGCCTAAGTGGAGCAACATACGTAATCATAGGGTCATTTATATGTCAAATTTTATACAGAAAACAAAAATTAAATAAATGGAACTAACCTCACTTCAATAACCAGATGATGAAATGTTTTAACTTTTTGAGAAGGCAAAGCACGATATTTCAATGAAAGATAAATATCTGGCAAAGGAGAAAGACCACCAAATTAGAAGAGGAACCGTCAATTAGGGTAACATGAAGAGAAATTGTAAATTGGGGGAAGGAGAAGGAAAAATGGTTAGTAAAAAGGTTGAGATAATGGGTTGTGACTTATGCCGCCAAATATTTCGAGGGTGAGGGAAAATTTTATGAATTAATTTAGGGAATTTTCCGCGCAGATTTTTTGTTTCTTTCGTGACAATTAATAGGGAATATAAGACGGCTCATGAAAGTCGTCTCAATATAAGTGGTCTATTACGACGTGTTCCTAAAAAGCGTCATATTTGCTGTATTCCGAGAATTAAAAAATAAAAAAAAATGTGATATTGAGAAAATGGCCCGCTTTTTATTTTATCCGTCTTTATAGTA